CACTATTGCTGCAAGTCTCCCTGTATTTAAGGCTGAAAAGCTGGCCCAACAGCGGGGATCAGAATACACCATTCTGCAAGCAAAGCTGCGAGAGACCAGCGATTTCCACAGCCAGGGACATGCCTGTGAAACATTCGGCCCCGCTCCCTTTGGCTGGAGCCTCCAGCCGAGCTGAGGTCCTTCCCCCAGCCCTGTATGTTGCAATTGCTGCACACAGAGGTGTTGTCCCAACCTTCCGGACGAATCCTGCTGTGATCCCACCACTTTCGGTGATGTACGTCACTCCTACCAACAGTTCCCACCCATGAAGACCCCGAACGGGCATTGTCCTCGCTGCAGCGCTGTTTCACCTGGCCCAGCAAACTGTAGTCCAGATCCGTTCTCAGCTCCACTCCTCCGCTGTTGCTCAGAGCGGGCAGCCAGTGCTGGATCATCGCCCGCCGCGCCTCTTTATTTGGGAGGTTGACCAAAATCCTCTTCTCCAGCCGCCGCAGCATTGCAGAATCCAACTCCCTGCAACCAAAGGAAGAGAGGAATTGTCTCAGGGCAATTGTCTCATGCCCTGTGAAGAGTGGCTGAGGGAGCTGGGTTTGTTTAGTCTGGAGAAGAGGAGGCTGAGAGGAGACCTTCCTCATTGCCCTCTACAACTACCTAAAAGGAGGCTGTAGTGAGGCTGGTGCTGGTCTCTTCTCTCTAATTACTAATGACGGGACAAGGGGAAATGGCCTCAAGTTGCGTCAGGGTAAGTTTAGATTGGATATTCGGAGGAAGTTCTTTACTGAACGAGTGGTGAGGCACTGGAACAGGCTGCCCAGGGAGGTGGTGGAGTCACCAACCCTGGAGGTGTTTAAAAAAAAAGTAGATCTGGCACTTGAGGCTGTGGTGTAGTGGTTGGGTGTGCTGGGATGAAGGTTGGACTAGATGATCTTCAGAGGTCCCTTCCAACCCCTGACATTCTGTGATTCTGTGATTCTGTGATCTTGTTGCAAAAATGCGCTGACAGCAAGCTCCTCGCTGCAGGGACTGATACTTTTCAACCCCAACTGTTACTGTGTCAACCTAATTTTGATTAAGAAAATATTAATTATCCAGTGTATCCCTGTTCAGTATGTCAGTGATACGCTGGCTTGTCACAGAGAGGCTGAACAGTAACAACCAGAAGTTGTAGTTATCTTCCCTGCAGCATGTCTTGTCAGTAGCAACCTCTCCCTTTCCCCCTTCTGCTACTAAGGAGACACTACAAATTGTCTGCTTGGGGCACTGCCACAAAGGAAAATATCATTATAAATAGGATCGTGTAAAGGATGGACAAGCTGGATGAATGTGACAGTGAGCAAAAAACTATGATGCTGTCAACATCAACACTGATAAAGGTGTTTTGCCTAAAAGAAAGTGGTAAAATACAGAAGGTTTGGCCTGCTCTTAATTTTTACTTGCTTGTGATGCACAAAGGGATCTTGAAAGAAAAATGCATGTTTCTTTCTGTTCATTTCGCAATGCATTTCATCACCACCTAGAAACAGTCCTTCCTGCCAGTGCCACAGATTCTGCTGCGTGTCAGGAGTCCTGGTATGCCCGGCATGCCAGCTCCTCTCAGACACGCATCCAAACAGTCCATATAAATCTATTTTTTTTCCCCAACCGCTTTTCAGTTGTCTGCATCTAACAGTAACACAACCAAATACGTGAATGCAAACTCCTATTCCAGCTCATCCCTTGTCACTCGTGTAACAGGAACAGTCTACAAGTACCCCAGTCGTCCACACGATTTTCAAGAAGCAATAGCGGCTAGAAAATATTTACTCCTAAGTCTCTAATACCCTCCAGGAGCTGCTCTGAGCTATTATCCTCTCGAGTGCTGTTACTGGCCCCATTCAGTCACAGACTTGTTATTTCAGTTTAAAATAAAATCCAGCCCTCATACATGCCAAGAAACTCTCATCAAGAGGAAACTCACTTCCATGTGCCTTCTGCAGAGGAAAAAGAGGAGCCTGAAGCACCATTTGCAGCCTTGCTGGCTGAGCCAGCTGTTGGAGGGCTGTGCCTGCAGTCTGGGACTATAGGTGTGCTTAAATAAACCTTCCTCCACCTTTCCTGATTCCCTGTGTGACATCTTTTTTTGCCAGCAAAGTCAATATTCAAGCAATGCTTCTTGTATGAAACTCCTTTTTAATTTACAGGGAGGTCAAAGCCAGCTCAAGACAGATCTGCAGCACACCAGTCAAGCTTATTTTGTCAGCTTTGGTGACTTGTCCTTTTTTTTTTAATAGTAAATGTTGTCTACTGGCATCGCACATGACAAAGAAAATGAAAAATGGGCTCCTAAATCCCCATCTAAGGTGTCTGCCTAAGTTCTCCATGGACCTCATCACGCCTGTTCCACGTGTGCTGAGCCCAGGGCAAAGAAAGCAAAAGCTAGAAAACCAGATTGATAGGAACTCGGAGGACAACAGGAATTCACTCAGATTCACCCCAGTACTTCTAATCAAGGTTTCAGAAGTAAATACCAGAGCTTACCAATCAATGGCTGTTGGTCTATTTGTGTTATTAGTGATATTTTCAGGCTGTTTACGATGCCATTCAACATTCAGTGCAATGCCTCTCACACAGGGTCCAACCCAGACCAGACAAAGAACCATGTTAGGCCCCTACACTGCTTTCAAATTTATTTTTCAGCTCAACTTCTCCTCAAGATTGTTTACTTGGCTGGAAATACTCTCTGGCTGACCAACCGCTTGGCTGTTATTTATCCATACTATCATCCTCTGCGCAAACAGGGCAAAAAGCTCTCATGGTTTCAGAGGTGCCTGTGCAGGAACTCTAAACTGCCCTTGCAGGCAAAGGACAACCGCAGACAGAGTTTCTGCGGACAAACTACAAAACCTTTAAAAGGATTCTGTTTTCCATGATGCCTTCTGCTTCAGAGCACTCCTGGGGTGTCCCCCAAGATCACAGTTTCATGCGCTCCCTAGCCGTGTTCTGTAAATAAGGTCATTGACACACAGAGTTCCTCTGTTTATCCAGAAAGTTCACAGTGACCCTGCTTGTTGGCTAAAGAGGAAAATAAAGGCATAATATTTCTGTCAAGTGTTTAGGTCGTTTGCTAAATTGTTTTGTTAGTGATCAAATGCAAGGTTAAGTGACATTAACCAGACTGGAATAATAAGCAATGAGCCAACGAAAACGTCCTCCGAAACAACAGCCAATAAAAGCACTACAAAATGCTCAAGGAAAGACACCCAGAGCTGTGCAGGACCGAGAAAAGAGGGTGGCTTTTCAGAGCTCTCCCAGGTTGACATCAGGAGGCATCATGCCATGTTATGACTCCCAAATTCCATGAAGATAAACAAGAGGAACACTTACTTTAATTTCCAGAAGGGAGAGGTGTAATGAAGGCATTCTAGGCAAAAATTAAAAGGCATCAACAACTCCAGAGGTGAACCCAGATACAGCAACAGAGGCTGACTGGTCCATACTACTGCGATCAGTGCTCTGGAGAAAAAGGCACCAAGAATAAATGACTTTCTCATCCTTCCCACCTCCCATCCTCCTGTGCAGATGGCCTGGGCAGAGCTTCCACAAGCTGGGGGCTTGTTCTCACTCCACATGTTCTCCTGCTCCTCTTCCTCCACTCTCCTGCCTCGCTCTCCTCCACCAGACACACCCAGGCACTGCCGAGGGGGACGAAAGGGCTCCCTACAGGGTAAGCCCAGGTTTGGCTTGAGTTTTGCAACCAACCACTTCCTGAAGTCATATTTTGGCCACACACTCACAGCTTTGAAAGGACTCACCTTGGGCAGAAGGGCAGGATCCTTTGTTGCAGTGGAAGTTGAATCACACCCACCTAACGCATTAGGAAACATTCACTACGTGGTTAAAGATCACTTCATCTCTTCACTAGTGGGGCCTTTACTTTATTTATTTTCATTGAATCATTTCAACAAGTAATTTGTCCTTAGGAAAAGCCTTGCTGAGGGGTAGCAGGAAGCAAGGCTGGGCAGCAAGCACCAGCTGAAGAGGAAGATCGATAGCTGCAGTGCAGCTTAGGACAGCGTAAAGAGCTTTGTTTAGGCTTCTTTTCATTCATCTAAAAGCAGCTTGGTACTAATTTTTTTTTCATGATCAATAAATACCCAAGTTAAACAAATCTCTTGAAATCCAGCTTAATGCCAAATGTTTGCAAGACCACAGAGCTGTGCTGTGAAGCCACAGCCTTGGACTGGAGTACTAGGCATTCTGAAACTTTGCTTTGAAATATCCCTACGCAGCTGAAGCCTGAGGTCTTACAGCAGGACTGAACGTCGCCTAATACACATAAAAATAATCTCCAAACAGGGAGCTGAGATGTTAAAGGGGGTTCAAACTCCAGTGACCATATTCCTCAAGGCTGTCAGCCGCAATGATGATGGAAGACACTCATGGGTTTCACTACCTTTCCCTAGCTTTCCATCCCTCTAAACCACTTTTTTAAACAAATACTCAGCTACATCCTAAAATCTATTCTCTGTGGCATGCACATTTCTGCCACACAACCCAGTCATTATACTTACAGGTTGGATTTGCTTGAGAGATGGGAAAAACCAACCTGCCTGTGGACCATGTTGAGAAAGTCCAAAAGGAAATTCTAAGCTCTTGGGTATAAAATTTTGGAAACTGAGAGCTGGCTTCTCAAAATGGCTCAGCTGACACCCTCATACCAATGCAGATTGCCAGCTCATTGATGTGGGAGCAGTTCCCTCAAAATAGAAGTGATTTTGGATCTACTTGTAATTTTTAATGTTTCAAAGAAGAAATCCTGCAAAAATTAGCACTCCAGAATCGCAAAATGATGAAAAAATCCCCTGCATAAAACACTCCAAACTGTGCTCTGTAATTTTTGCATGGCTTTCCAGAAAGAATTTATCAGTTGCACACGGCAAGGTGTTAACAAGATACATGCAGGAACCTCCTTCTGCAGAAGGGTACAGAGAGAGCTCAGCCTCATGCTTACATTAACCTGTCTCCAAGAACCTGAGATCCAGCACCAGCCACACAGTGGCCTTCAGACCAGCTGCTATCTCCAAACTCCTCCTCAGTGAGTTCCAAATATACAATTTTTACTTCAAGACAGTGCGGAAGGGCAGAAAGACCTGGATGCTGTGAAGAGATCCGATCCTTTTTAATACTGCCACGCTGCAGCATTACATGTGGAGCTTCGCTACTCAGGGGCAAATTTCGGAGACCACAGAAAGGCACGATGCACTACTTGGCGTTTCTCTTTCTAAAAGGGTAACAATGCTACAATAACATAGACCTTCATAGTGTATTACTAACAAACCACAAACAGACAAATGTATTATTAATGTATTGATTCTCTTACAAACTTAACTGTTCTCACACACAGCAGCTATTTTTTTTTCAGCATTTTCTTACACAACTGGAACATAATTAAATTCTGCTCAGTTCCTTTGATGTAGATACTGTAACACAAAATGGGGTGGATTTTGTACTGATTTAAATTCATGAGTTTATCTAAGACATAAATCCCCCCAAACCAACACACATATTCTGCTATTATGGCTATGAAAGCCAGTGATGGCTTTATATTCACACTGTTGGGCCAGGGTAGGAACCAGCCTAACTTGCACATCTAATTTCTACATTAATTTTAGGTGCTCGCACCACCGTTATCCTAGTTAAAGAGCCTGAAAGCCCTGGGCAGGCCATAGAGAGAGGCAGACGACGGTCCCTGAAGGGGCCAGACCAAATCTCTTCCCATGATTCTACGACTCCAGCCTTTACATCACAGAATAAGAACTGGGTAATTCTCAAATGAGTTCTTAGGTATTTGTTTTAATTCATCTAATTGTAATGAGGGATACTGAAGGGTAAGACACTGCTTGTTTTACACAGCAGCTGTGCCTCCATGCCAACTTAGAAGACCACTCACTCCCCTTAGGCTTTCGTACATTCAGAAGGGAGAAATACTTTGAATTACTCTCACAGAACCTAGATTAGGCCCTTGCTTTGATTTACAGCATCACAGAACGGCTGATGTTGGAAGGCATCTCTTGGGGATCACTTAGTCCAATGCCCTGCCCAAATCAGGGTCAGCCAGTCAGGTTTTGAGTCTCCAGGGATGGAGACTCCAGAACCAATTTGAGCAACCTGTGCCAGTTTTTCATTACCTGCACTTGAGCTTTCCTGAGATTCTTGTGGGCTCACTCCTCCAGCCTGCCAAGGTCCCTCTGAACGGCAGCGCAACCCTCTGGTCAATTAACTATTCCTTCCAGTTTTGTATCACCCGCAAATTTGCTGAGGGTGCCCTCTGTCGCATTGTCTAAATCATCAGTGAAGGTGTTAAAACAGCACTGAGCCCTGTGGGTATCTCAATTGTTCTGAATTGCTGCACCTGTTAGAATCATAGAATCGTTTGGAAAAGACCAGCCTTTAAGACCGTCAAGCCCAACCACTAAGCCAACACTGCCAGGTTCACCATGTCTGTAAGCACCACATGTACACAGGCAACATTACCAGGTATCAATACTGTTATCAGTATTGATCCACATCTTTTAAATCCTTCCAGGGATGGTGACTGAACCACTTCCCTGGGCAGCCAGTTCCAATGCTTCAACAACCCTTTCAGTGAAGAAATTTTTCCTAATGTCAAATCTCTACAATGTGAGAGGTGAATAGGCCCACTTGGATCTGCCTGCCTTTAAGGACATGGATATCAAGAAATATTTCAGTGCTATGATTATCAGCAAACTGCAAAAAACATTAGCTATTCAGACACTGTCCCCAGCAGACTCCTTGGATTTCTCTGTTTCATGTACACTTCAGGGAAAGGAAGAAAAAAAATCTTTCTTGCGCCCAGCCCATCTTTTTTTGCAGACATGTGGCTCCAAGACTGTCCTTTACCAAACAGATAACTTCCACAATTTACTTTGCTGTGGTTCCCCTTTCGGCTTTCAGTGCACAGATTTCTCTTTTTTTTTTCATGGATTGGTAGCCCAGGGGGAAGGGGAGTCTCAGGGCAAACAGAAATCCATAGACTAATTCCAGACCTATGAATAGTAACTTCAAAACCAAGCCCATCATCAACGAGGCTTCACCTCTCTGTACAGGTGCTGGGTTCCACTCTGGAAAATGCTTAAGTGAGCTACAAATCAGACCATCACAAGTATTTTTGTAGAAAACATGAACAAGCAACAGTGGCCATGGGAGACACATACCAGGAGGCCCATGAGGTGGGCATTTTTGCTGTCTGTTGTCCTCCCCCCAGCATCCAAGGTCGTTAAATTAGAAATGTTACCTCCCTACCTCACCCTCTCCCGTCTGTCTTGTTCTCAGTCCATGTCCTACACATTTGGGGAACAACACGATGAAGTGCCCTAGTTCGAATCTTAAACTGTTTATTCTTCTGTTATAAATTATGTTAAACAAATGGAAGAATTTTGCCCCTCAACTTTTAAAAGTCACATTTGATACCAATAAATCCAGCATTCCTATTTATGGAGTATCCTTCTAAGCACTAGATGTTTTAAGCACCTTACAGCTCCAGGCTGAAACCCTTCTTAGCTTAAACATAGTAAATAACTTGCCTATGAAGTCAAATACTCCATTTTAAATATTAGCAGCTGGTAGCACCAGCATATGTTGACTTTATTATGGATTATTCTCATGTGGCACAAATAGCAAGAATTGTAGAGTTTAAAAGTAAAAGCTCCAAATTAATCTTTAAATGCTTTAACCAAATATCAAGGCTTTTTCTGCAAAAGTCTAAATAAAATCTTTATCTGTGCTTAGAAGCTCATGCAAATGTATTCAAAATGTACTCTCTGGATCTCTTACCATGGCAGATTGGAAGCTGCTAAAACAAATACAAGATCATCAGATCGGGCCAAGCCATCCATCTGCACCAGTAATTCTGTTTTCATCCGCCGACTTCCTTCATGTTCACCACTACCAAGATGCAGAGAAATATTATTTGCTCAGTGCATTAAAGTAATCATCTTTATTTATACAGTGTCATTCACAGCAACTGAGCCCTTGTCACAGTTTTGCCCCAGTTCAAAGCATGATTAAGCTCCATTAGCTAACATCTAAGCATTAAAATCAAGCTTTCTAATGATTACTTAAATGGACTCTTTTTGGTGCATTAAAGTAAGGAGAATTCACTATCACTGAATCCAAGGAAAGTATTTATTTTTATTTTTTTTCTGCATTAAACTTCACACGATGTTGGCATTTACTGGAAAACAGCTAAGGCTTCGATCAATTGATCTGTGTAAGAGAACTTTTATAACATGATAGTTGCCATTAAATAACAAACACATTTACCTTTTCAGGGCATTCTACTGGCATTTTTCTCTGAGCGAATTTTAACTGGCCACAAGGAGATATAGCTACTACCAAATGCAACATTTTGCAAAACATTCTATCAAAAGCAAACAGAAAAACATGCCGTATTGAAATTAATTTTAAAATGGGGCAGAGACCACACAGAAAGGATCCTTCCTCAAAAAAAGAAGGGGATTTTTTGCAAAGTGCTTAGAACTCTGGCCCTGATCCAGGTAACCAATTTTGCAGGAAACCAATCTGAACTCCTGGTCCCAGACGTGGAGTTCTTCGAAACTCCTGAATCAAACTCAGAGAAAACATCAGGGCCTTAGATGGAAAGAGCTGCAATTCAGGTTTAATGGGTTATTTCTGCAAAGGCATCCACACGCTGGTGCTGTGTCAATATTTAATGAGGATATGTCAAAAATAACTACATAATTCTTACATAAAAATCCTTATTAAAATATATACTCCAGTGATGTTAATGAGAGCTTTAAAAATATATATATGAAAAAAAATCTGGTCAATAATTTATAGCTATTAATTGACAATTATTACAAATTGTATCTTTACAATATGACAGTCTATTCACACATCTTTGTAAGCATATAATTCACAGTACATAAAATCCACTGTAATGGGATACTAATGGTCGTAATAATAATTTTATGTTTTTCCTTCTTCTTCCTCATCCCTAACCATTTCAATCTGGTTATAACGATAAACCACCTACATCACAGATGACATTAGTAACATCCTCCTGCTCCTGCATCTGGAAGTCCTGATAACACCACCGAAATCTGTCCTATTCATGAAAATGCCATTCCACCATGTACGATCCATCTTACCCTGCTATGCCTAAACTTGACAAAAGTGTCACAAAACCAGCTGCTTCTTACTCGCCTCTAATCAGTCACCTGTCGTTTCCCCCTCACTGCCTTTATTTTCACTTCACACCCCTTATTTTGAAGTACAGCACCACTAGCTGTATACTCTTGCACACTCCTCCTTCTCAAATTCTTGCTGGATCCGCAGTTCCTTGCTAATCTTCACCCAACACGCCCCTCATGCTTGTTTCTCTTGCCTCTGGTGAATGAAACCACTAGATCTGGCTCCTTAAATCCCCACAGGGCACGCAATGTGCCCACGAGGCAGCCCTTTGGAAGCTGACAGGCGTTCTGACAACAACATGTGGTGAAGCTCCTGAAGACCACAACAGAACACAAGCAAAACCGCCTAATAAAAAGTCAAGGAAATTAGCATTATCAAAGTAATAATAACGACAATAAAATATAAAAAACAGAGGCCCGATCATTTTCCTGCTGGAGTTTATAGAGTAGCCTCAGGCTTTAGTTTAGCTAAGATTTATTTTTAACATGTGCACTCTGTGACTGAAGACTGGTTGGCACCTGAACGTGCATACACACACGCTGTTGAAAAGATTTGGTAAAAGTGGGATGAACATTCTGCTTAAGCCATAGGAAATGGTCTCAATAGTTACCCAGAAGCAGTGCCTCTCTGACTCATAACTGACTCCAGCTCATCCAAGAAAATTGTGGAAGGAGCGTGGTACCGGGCAAGCTCAAATAAGACCTGTTTAGAGAGAAGAGTAAACATGAAAGAAAAGATGAAGTAACACTAAAAAACATCAAAGGGCCATTGGCACACAAGATAAATGAAAGCACCCACATTCCAGACTTCTAGGACAAAGGGGGATGGATGGATATCTGCTGGGAAAAGGCTCAGTAGGCTGAAGGTTCCCAAATCCTCTCACACTCTGAAAGGTTTGTGAAGGAAATACAAGGAACACAGCCACGTAATCCCGTCTTTGTATGTAAATCTTTCTGGCTAAATCCTATCAGAGTACCCTGCAAATAATGGGATAGAAGAAAATGATCCATCTGGGATTCCAGGAACTCCTAAACTGTTATCAGAGATTAAACATCCGTCTTTTGTTGTTGCTCCATTTGTAGGTGTTTTTTTTTAAATAAGGATTTGAGGAAAAAAAATAATTTACAAGTCAGCTGAATCATAATGAAAGAAAATGGACTGATTCTTTTGATAGCAGTCAAGCAGTTCTTTTGTTTTTCCTCATGAAAACAAACATAATCTGCTTGAACAATCAAGATTTAAAAAGAGAATATTAAGCTGTCACAAAAAGTCTGGGTCTGCCCTTTGGAGAAGGAAGTTTAATCTATTTTTCTGTAAACATAGAGAGGCTTATACTAGCAGTAAGAGCATATTGTCGGTTCTTCCTCACAGAAGTGTTCCTTGAGCTTTTAAATAAATATCACTGAAAAATACATATTAATACAGCGCTTTTAAATCTGAACAAAAAACAAATTAAAAACTATATTATATTCTGTACTTTGGATAGGCAGCACAGGATTTAAGTTATTTGCCCACAGGGACAAGCAGTCCATGACCAATCTACAATTTTATTACAAATATAAAATACAAAAATGACATCAATACAGTTCAGAACTGAGGAAAACAGGATGAATGGCTATGCCTCCAAAATAACCACAAAACCCATATGTACTTCACACAGCTTCAGAAAGCTCCTGCACCAGCTTCATGTGATTGTAGGATCCAAATTCACACAATACTTAAAAGTTGTCCTGATCTATAACCTCATTTCATTTTCAAATTCTGCCAAAAATACAATGAAGGGTAGAATGACACAGTTTCAATATTGTTGCAGAAACCTTTTGGATGATGGTGTCAAAAACCAGAATGTCCCATCCCTACTCCTGCAGGAAGTGAAACTTCTAGGAAGCTGCTGAGACAGTTGTCAAGAGGATCAATAACACAGGAGGTGAATGCCAGAAAAATAATATGCCATCTTAAAGGACAAAGCACACATCTACATTTGACTGTAAGATCCTTGTGACAAGGGAATTCTTTGCCAATTCCATGCCTTAAAGACTAGCAATATTAACTAGAAATGATGTAAAGTTCTTTGAAGGTGTCATTAAGTAAATTCTACTTTAGTTACGAACTCTGCTTGCCTATCTCTTATTCAGTGAGTGAAAAATCTTTTCTGCCTTCAGGACATCTGCTTCATCTTACATTACAGAACTAAAATTCCTCAGCAAGAATCCTTTGTGAGACTTCCGCAGAAGTGATGTTATCCCCATTTTAAGAACTAGATTATGAACAGGGTCACCATGTTTTGTCCAAGACAGGAAAGACTGAGTATCAGAGGAATACTTGCTTTCTGGTTCTGTGTTACACTCCAGCTCTTTAACTGAGAACTTGATGTTTGTTAAAGTACAAGAATGAGATGAGGTCCCTTCCAACCCCTAACATGAGGCGTGAGTCTTACCCGGACAAGTTTTTCAGAATCGCCCCTCCATTTGCTGACAATGGTGGATGCTGATATGTTGAAAAAGGTTGTATTGCACTCTGTGGCTACAGCCTTGGCAAGCAAGGTTTTTCCAGTACCTACGAACAACAGTGTTGAGGGAATTCACTCTCTAAATAAACACAACACAAATGTTTGAATAGTTCCCCTTCATTCTACTACCAGTAAGAGAAAAAAAAAAGAGTAAAATATGAAAAGTAATAGAATCATAGAATGTGTGTTGGGCTGGAAAGGACCTTTAGAGGTCATTTGGTCCAACCCCCCAGCAGTGAGCAGGGACATCTTTAGATCAGGTTGCTCAGAGCCCCATCAAGCCCAACCTGGAGCCTAAACATCTCCAGGGATGGGGCCTCCACTACTTCTCTGGGCAACCTGTGCCAGTGTTTCATGACCTTCATTGTAAAAAATTTCTTCGTTATATCTAGCCTGAATCTCCTCTCTCCTAATTTAAATCCATTGCCCTTTGTTCTGTCACCACAGGCCTTACTAAAAAGTCCCTCCCCATCTTTCCTGCAGCCCCTTCAGGCACTGGCAGGCCGCTATAAGGTCTCCACAGAGCTTCTCTTCTTCAGGCCCAGCTCTCAGCCTCATGGCAGAGGTGTTCCATCCCTCTGATCATTTCTGTGGCCCTTCCAAGATTGTCTGGAGAAATACAACTAACACAGCATTGCAAATGCAGTCACCACATTGCAAAGGGCCATGTGTTGAAATTGCCAGATGCCTTCTGCAGCAAGTACAGCTTAACCTTCACAGGAACAAGTGAAGTTTACTGCAGTGACAGCCGTGTCAACCTGACCCAAGCAGTAGTTGTGCCCTCTGTCCCCTCCCAGCCATCTCACAGTGGTAGTGTTCGGGGCAAAGTGGAGCAGAGGGAGAAGGGAAGCCGTGCTGACACGGAGAACACTCAGCTAGCATGCAAGAGGGCAAAGCTTCTCTCCATTTCCAAAACAACCCCCAGATGCAGAAGAAACAAAAGACATTTTCCTTAAGAAGGTGAATGAATGCCAGATTTATTTACATTTTGTAAAAAGGCAAAGATACTGTGTTCTCAACTCCCCCGAATGGTTAGTGTAAGTACTGGTTTTGGAAGATACAGGTGTGAAAATAGTCAAGGGTGATGAGAAAGGCAAATGGACAGGTGTGAGTGTCAGAGACAGACGTAATCCTCTAATGCTCTTTCCTTTTGTTTCACGTTACAGAAAACACTCTTTATTAACACATTTGATCTAGCTAGCATCAATGATTTTACCACGGGACAAGACCAGAAGCAGTGATAAACGAACAGATAGGATATAAAGCTCTCCATACCTGGTGGTCCATAGAGCAATAATCCTTTCCAAGGAGACAGAATGCCAGTAAACAGTTGCGGGTACTGTGGAAACAGAAAAGTAATGCAGGGATTAAAAGTGTATCATCTATAAAAAAATCGAGGGATTCTAACTCGTACCTCCACTATTCTGAACATATTCAGGAAACTGAAGAAATTTGAAGAGAGGAGGATAAAACCACTCCAAAACAATAAAACATACATGATCTGAATACTGAGAAAAATATTGTATTTACCATTTGACATGTGTTTCAAGTGAATTCTTCAAATGCAATTGATTTGACATTCTCTTCTGTAAGTCATTTTCCATTGAATTAATATAGACCAAATCCAGTACCACTTAAATTATCAAAGGTGCCAAAGGACAGGACCCAACACTTACAATTTTAATATTGAAAGGTCATTTTCCTACAGTAAAATGTATATGCCACTGTCAGATGAAACAGCAATACCTATAGCATGAAGTGCTTACAAAAAGGGTAGAAATAGGGAGAACTCTAAACCACCATGATAAATACAAGGAAAATGCTATCAAGCCCAACGCTGTTTTTCTCAAAATTATTTAGCTCCTTACCTTTATGGGATAAACAACTGCTTCCTTGACTAGCCTTTTAGCCGCATCCAGTCCAACAATATCATCCCACTTCACGTTTGGATTATGGAGATAAATGTCCTGCAACAGACATTGCATCCTGTTAGTAAAACTTGTCCTGCACGAGGATCTCTGGCATAGCAAAAGAATTGATTTGGTTATAAAATAAGAGTGGTAATACAGTGATATGAACCCTACGTACTAGGGACCTCCAGAGAAGGAAGCATACACAGCAAACATTTCCACATCGTGCCTTGCTGCCCCTCGAGCCCCTCGTTTCCCTAAGAGCATATACGCTGCCAAAGGTATATGCTGGGCAGATCTGCTCCTCAGATCTGCTTTCTGTTAGTTGATTTTAGTAAAACAACAAACATATGAAGATCTGTCACAGTATGGAGGTTAACCAACCCTAGCATTTCGTCTCTGAGGCTGGCAAGTGTTGTATGTTTAAAAAAAAGTATAAGCAATAGGAGTGGCAGGTTAGTTCATATTCATATTTTTTACATCCATCAAAATCTTCAACTGAAGGACTTCAATAATTAAAATTACATCTTAGTCTTTGAGTTCAAACATCCTTTGACATTGATCCTACAGTGAATTTCTCCTACCTCTTTTTTGAACATGCTTGTTCTGTACTGTTTAATCCCCACAGTTTAATCAAGTGCAATATGAAGATACTTCTGTTTCTTTTAAACTTGATGCTAAGTAACTTTATAGCCTATTACTTATGTTGTTAGTTATAAGTAACTGTGAAAAATTGCTATTTGCTCCACACTACGCAAGATGTTATATATCGCAAGAAAAGCTGTGAGAAATTCTGTAACAGGAGGAAAATTTTCCCCTAAGCATCTATCAAAAGATAGTCGGTAATTAGTCTATGCCCTGAAGCACTCACTAAATTAATTTAATTTAATTCATCAAACTTTTCAAATCTTCTATGAATCTTTCCACTTGCTGTAGTATTACTTTGTGGCTTTGCATTCCTAGAGATTAGTTGTTCTGCAGAAAATATCATATCCTCAGTACAAATACTTGGGATAAATTCTGCTCCCAGATAAAAACAGGCAGTCCCTGGAGACTGAAGAAAAATTACGTGCTTATTTCTGAGTGGAAAATTTGATTTAACACAATTAGAAAAATTATTTTTATGGAGTAGATCACACTTTCCCTTTCTATTAACAGAAAATTAAGATATATCAGATTTATGATTCTAAGTCGAGACTTCCATAACTGTTTCCAAATTAAATTAGATTGTGTCGTGAAATAGATACCACATGCTATTTATTTTTATTGATTTACACAGTGTTGATTACCATAGCAACCAGTAACATGCCAGCACATTTTAAAAAAACATACCATAACAAAGGTTAAAGCAACCCTATTGCTTTTTTTTTTGCTAAAGTAGCAACAAGAAACACTATTTTAAAGGGTTACCATAAATTGAAAAACAGACAGGAATCAAAATGAATGAAAATGCTCTTCCTTTAAGGCTGGAAATTTCTTAGACTTCCATTTTACTAAACTGCAAATCAAAACGTGGAGACCAAGAATTTGGGCTATGAAAATTCAGCCAGCAAAAGTCTTGAGGCTTTTTAAACAGATAATTTTAAGTATGTGGGAGAACAGCTGATACCACTTCTGATTCTTATATCCAGAAAGAGTCAAATTTCATGTCAAACTTAGTACCAAACATTGTGATACCCTGAAGTGTTCTGGACAAGTGCTTCATGGGGTCTTGGAGGTGACGCATGCAAAGCACTTATCTGCGTCAAGGCCAGGCTCATCCACAGTAGCCCAGGGCCTGTTTGCTAGACTGCACCTCGACCCACGAGCAAAATGAAGTTGGGATTTCCTCCATATGTCAAACTGCCCGTCCTGGAATGCGTGGACTGCACCCACAGAGCTGAGCCAAGGTTTGGTCCACCATTTGATCACCGTTAGATAACGTATTAGATAAAAGCTAGTATTAGCTAAGGTATTTAAATCTCTCTTTTCAGTGTTGTACATTTTCTGTAGCAGTAAGAAAAAAGGGGAAAGCTACTCCAGTCTCATGGGTACAGCACGATTAGATTACATGTTCCCCATTCGCAAGGAATGGTCTTAATTACTTCCTCCTATTGTGTATCAGAAACATCAGTTACATGTAAAGAAATTACTTCTTGGGGGTCGCATGATAAGAGAAATAGCTTGCGCATTCAGGAATAAGCACTATCAGTGACAGTAAAAAGAAATAAACTGCATTCTCAGATGACAAAGATAACCAAGATCTCTATGTAACTGAAACAGAGATCTGATCTTACTTTGCTCACCACCGTTGCAAGTTCTCTCATCTCACCAGTCATGCCAATAAAAGCACTAAGGGGTTTTAGTAACCGTTCCTAAAAAAAAGACAAACAAGTTCTTGTCAGACTTCAATTATTTTTAAACTATGAAATAGTTTCTAAAAAGCTGATACATCATAATCATAGAATCATAGAATCATGGAATGGCCTAGGCTGGAAGGGACTTTAGAGTTAATCCCACCCTCCCTGTCACGGGCAGGGACGCCCCTCAACTAGATCACATGGGGACTGAATGGGGATCGAACCTGCGACCTTGGTGTTATCAGCACCACGCTCTAACCGACTGAGCCAATATCAATAATAAAGATTTTGAAGCCATATTTGCAGTAACTCATCTTTTCATCTTACGCAATCTAATCTGCGAACTGACATTAAAACGACCAGCTTGTTTTTTCCACATGCAGTCCTAAGCATGCCCCACATAGATTAAGAAGAGTAAAAAATTGTTCATCACACTTCCTCATACTCTCTTTTGGAAGTCTCCTCAAGTGTAGCAGTTGCCAGGCAGAGGGGCACTGAGTAAGTTGGATGAGCTGTCCTAGAAGCCATGGCTTGTGTCAAGGAGTAATTACTTGGTTACTTCAGGAGGGGTTACTTTACTGAACATTCTATATCTCAACTATATAAACTCTTGCTCTTGCCTCAGCTGAGGTGAACAGTAAATAACATACTGAATTCACAGGAACTAGAATTTCACCCTCAGATGTTCTGTAGGTTTCTGCGATTTACTTTCTTTTTCTGTAAATCATACAGTATTATTTGTATTTGTCATGTACTTTCATATTTGAAGAGTAAACAACTGTGAACAAATTAGACCAGTATCAGGTACGACTGTGGCCACTCAAGAAGGAAATACACGATTTTGGAATGGAAATGACTGATAACCTCATTGCAGCATTTTATTTTGTTCCTTCTCATATAAAACTGAAATTCATGCTCATTGGATGGAAATATGAGCAGAAACACTTACTGAAGGATCTGGATCACAGTTAAGGCTGTTCAAGGCTATTCCATTTGATGATACTTTGATAGCGTCCTGAATCATCCCATGGAAGTCAATTACTTGGCCCTAAAGGAGAAAATAATGTTTTAACAGGCTTTAACTGTTAAAACTGCAGACTAAATTTTGCTTGCCATTACAGCAATTAGCTTCCTTACTGCACTTGTAGTCCTAAATATGTCAAAAACTGACCACAGAATCAGTGGCAGCAACAGGAAAAGAACACACATCTCCTCAGTCATTATAAGACCTTTACTGCAGAGCATCTTATTATCTCATTCAGGAATTTGAGATTTATCTTAAATTTTAGCCATTACCACTGGGTTTTAAAGGCAGAAATATTTTTTCCTTATTGACAATGTTTGAAATATTATTTAATGCAACCAGAGCCTCCTAGGCAAAGAATTACCGCCCAAATATTAAAATTTACTCTTCAGCTAATCATACAGGATCATTCTTTATCAACACGGACACAAAAAGTTCACATCTGGTATTTGTGAAAAACTTTCAGATGTTTTCCCTACAGATGCATTTCTGCCGTAAATCACATACTAGGTTTCCACCAGCCTTTCTTGGGTGAGTGCTGTCTCCTCCAGCTTTGCTGACTGCTGAGATGCTTAAGCCAAAGTCAGATTGCTCTGGAGTGACTGCATTGTCATTATTCTAAAGAAGAAAAAAAATTAAAACAGATGTGTTGCCCAGTAGGTGCGTAGCAGATATCCTATTATAGGTATGATCCTACCTTTTCATGTGTACCCAGATGTATAGTAATCCCATGCTTGTCAGACATCAGCACATGTATATTTATAGAATTACAGAATTACAGAACCCATTAAAGGTCTTTTTCAGCCTTTAATACCAACTGTTAACCCAGCAATGCCAGGTCCAGCACTAAACCATGTCCCTGAGCACCTCATCTACACATTTTTTAATACCTCCAGGTGATGCCTTGAACAAAGACTCGAGGTGGAAAACTCCCCTGTATCTCTGTAGTGCCTGATTTATGCTTGTTTGAGGATTAATGCCTTGAACAAAGGCCCCACTATAGCTCTGTAGTGTGTAATCCATTCTCCCTTGAGCAACTTCTAAGCTTTCTATGATAAGAAAACCTTGAATTTTGTTATTAGTAGGCACAAACAGATAGGAAGCTTTAGGCCTTGTTGAGCTTCATGATTAAAACCCACCAGGACCAGTTTAGGACCAGATAACAGAGAAAAACAGCTGAACAGTCTGGGATGACCCACAATGCACATGCCTCAAGGGAAAGTTCAACCAGAGGACACCAAGAGAATGACCACCAGAGGGCCTTGGAAACCCCAAAAGACCATCGACCCACTTAAGAGCGCAGGCCAAAAAGGGTGGACACTATGTAAATAACTTCTAGTAAATAATATGAATGTGTATGACAATTTCAAGAAATATAATGGATATCTATGTATCAGAACAATATAAGCTTTGCTTACTGTAGATAATAGGATGAACACTAAGAGGAATTCTGTCCCATGCACCCAGTGCTGCAATAAAGAGTGCCTGCTTTCTAAAACTCCAAACCTGAGTCTTAGAGAGTTTCTCTGAGCAGCTTTTATGGTAACACAGAGATGTTGACTCCACCACTTTCCTGGTCAGCCTGTTCCAGTGCTTGACAATCTTTTCCTAAATTAGACTTGATCTTAGTTTCCTAAGTTAGACTTCACCTGACTGCAGACAGCAGTGTTGAAAACCATGGCTCTACAACTCTTCATTCAAGCTATTTCATGTGCATCATTATTATTACATTTCATTCTAAGTTGTAGAAATCTGCCTTTTTACTCAGCTATGAGAAGAAGCAGTTAATGAACAGTGGAAACATGAAGCAAGCGCAAGGCACAGCACATCAACTCAGAAATGAGGAACCATTTTAGGATTCTAAGTTACTTTGACATTCACTTTATAGCAGTCATTGCTGCGCTGTCCAAAAGCTAAGTGTTTCAAAGGTGAGGGACCTGGTCCAAGATGAGAGTCATCCTATGCAGGAACATGGACGAGGACTTTAAGAATAAAAAGAGACTCTCCTTCCCACAGCTATAGCAGACCGAGTGCTTGCCCACCAACCGACTGTTCCTGCTCCCTCCTCTGCAAGGGATGGCATTAAAGTAGTTTTCATGGCAAACTTAGCAAAATGAGACTTATAAACCTGAAAATTACAGAGCCAAATTATCTCCCCAGTCTGAAACACTTTATGCACTGTGAAGATGCTTACAATTGACACCAGATTTTCTACCAGGATTGTTTGTCTGGTTTTCTGCTACTAAAGCATGAATCTACTGGTGTTAATGGGAAGACTCTGGTTGCTTTCAGGATAGGTTTGATTATATGACTGCCTCTCCTCTAATTTTACCCTGTGACTTACTCCCCAACTCAGAGGCAGAATATATTCTCCTGAAGTCTTATATCTATAATCCTTAAATTACATAATTAGTAAAATCCATTAGTTACACAATTATTAACTCTGTAACTCACACCATCTTGCTGCCTGTAACCTTTCAAAATAAAATCACACTAATATCAACTGTAATGCTGCCAAGACAAACCACAGTTAAACCTGTTTGGGTATGTCCTTTGGGGATGATTTAAATTCTGTTGCACTCCCAGGAGAAGTTTTTGACAACGGTTGTTGCACAGTCTGATGTTTGAGCCTTGGGAGATTCTGAGAAGAGCTTGCTGCCCTAAAATTAAAAAAAAAAAAAATCAATCTTGAAAGTCTTTCACAACTTCTTTTTTTTCCCTTCAAATTATCAAAAGATTAAAAGGTAGAGTTTTCAAATAAAGCAGTTTTTGGGCTAACTTTGCTCCCACTGAAGTCAAGGCATCAGTTTCAGTCACAGCAAGTTCAATGCATACTGCTTGCAAACATGACATCCTACCTTATCCACACTGTAGAAACTTTGTAAATTGTCTGCATCTGCCTCTGGGAAATAAGTCTTTATTTTCCTCTAAAAGATACAGCAAAATGCACCAGGCAGTCAGCAGCGTGACTCTAGGCTTGAGCATTCCTATGGTACCACAACATTATTTTAACCACTCTGTATATTGTTTTATAGGACAATTTTCTGCCCAGAAAAAAACTCAGGCATTTCTCTTACCTTCTTGGTCTTCCTCCAGTTCTCAGCTGTCGTTTATTTTCCGCTGTAGGAAAATTAATATTAAAATGGTGAATATTTAAGGATTAATGAAGGGCAACTTGTTTATTTTTTCCCCTTTCAAACATATTTTTGAGCACAAATTAAGAACCTTGGAAATAACAATACATAAACAGGAACAGCACGATTATAAGCAATGCAAGCTTGCAGAAATGTTTTGAAAGCAAACTGACATTGGACAGAGCAGTTTGGCTCCAGGCTCATTAAATTTTTGGCTCATTTAGTCTTTGGTTTCTTTGCTTACATTTTAAAACCAGTATCATTTTCACAGTAAAACGGACACTGCTTAAATTAGATCAAGCACAATAAACTAATTTAATATATCACACAGAATGATTATTTAATGCTAATAATTTATTCATTGCTGAATTGGGAAATAAGAATTTACCTCACTCTTCATAACAGTAATTTTACCATACTCGACATACATAAATGTCACATTGCAATGGTGGTTATCAAAACACGTTATTTTTTGCGCTTGAATTATTTGAAACATTTTCTGTCAAAGAAAAGCTTTTTCCACAAAATGTCAAACTCGCAAAGCCCAGATGTGAGCTCATAAAGCTGAGGGTTTCTGTCATACTAGCAGGACCCTGACTGCTACCAGTGTTGTCTGTGCCATGCTCTTGCACCCAGATTCTCATACACTTACACAAAATAATCTTTCCAAACAAGCTGTTTCATTGAAAGAGCTTGGGAACATGGTGTACTTAAAGGCAGCAGAGCCAATACCTGAAACTTGTAACCCTGTGGGTACATCTACAGCACCACAAACTGCAATTCTGAGTGGAAATGAGTTGATTCCGTAGGGCCTGCTGAGAGCATTACAAAGAATTTAGCAGGGAGGAGCACCACACCAATAATTTTGTTTGGCCTGCATATACCATGATCTGACCACGGACATGGTTTAAGGGAGGTCACAAAAAACAGGCAGCAGGTTTTCTAGAGAGACACATGCAGGAGGGAGGCTGCTGAGGCTTCAGGGTAAAAGGATGATACATCCCTGACAGCATGTTTGCGATTCTGAGCTTGGTTAACGGCAGAGTGCCCCATGACTGAGCAGCTTTACCCAAAAAATGGGTACCGAGAGCTTGTAAGTGTGTAAGAGTGATTCTTTTTTGGGAATTGTTCACTTGGATCATGGATCAAGACTTGGCCACCACTCGATTTGACTAAGTATGATGTGACAAATGCTTTGTATTACATTTTCCTTCTTGATTCATAACAAATCCTTTGGGTTTTGTCCTGCAAGACCGCTCCTCTTCCTATTAACACCAATCAATAGGTTCTGCTAGCTTCATGCAGATAATGCTTGCTTCCAGCTAGTACTGTTCTACATCACCGTGGCAATAATGATGTAGCTTTAGTACCTTTCAAAATCATTTCACCTATACAGGCAATTTTATTACATTTATGTAATGTTTCATTTACCTGGGATTTCAAATTTGCTGGCAGCCACATGAAACAATGATGACTGCTCAGTGATGTTCCCCGACGAATCATCCCCTTCTCTAATGATTCTAATTTTTCTTACAAGACAAACAGGTAGAGATGTTGGTGTTTTCTGCACCCTCCAAGCTCTTAGTAACTGTTCCTTACGCAATTATTTTTTTGCTAAAGTATAAAAAACAGTCAGGCTCTCAGGGTCGTAACAGAATGCTTATATTCTGATTTGCCTTATTATGTATCATTCACTTACACCTCAAACTTTAGGTCCCTTGGAGCACATAAACACACTACACGTTTGGCATATTACCTTTGGTATGTGAAAATGTGCAAAACAAACTGTTAATGAGACTAGTGGTGATAAACTTTTAAGCACTTGCTTGGATGAGCTAAGTTATATTTCATTAAAGTGGTTTATTTTAATTTAAACATTAAATCCAAAATACTATTTTCTCCTTCATGAGAGGAAAGTGAATATATCTAAGCCATAATACTTTGTGCTTACATGGCATTTTCCAAAATCAAAGCAGTTTTTAAAAGACATTAAAATACCACCTTCTTTTTCCTCTATCTAGAGAAGGAAGATCAGAAGAGCTCAAAGCTCCTCCTCTCAGTTCCTGTGTCCATGTGCCAGAACTACAGCCCTGTAACTGTATGAGAGTCTGAACATTAAATGCTGACATACACAAGAAGGGTGGTGAGCCTATCAGGCAAATACACATTTTAGGCTTTGAGCAACAAAAGCTTTCTTTTTGGAATACAGCCACATACCGGTGTCCGGGACCTTTTTGGTAATTTTAGGATACTTTTGAAATTTTACAAAGTAATAGCTTTCATATTCCATCAAAATTGTTTCAAGATCAATGTTGTCACAAACTTGAAAGCCACGTAAACTTAAGTTCGTCTCTTGCTCCAAAGCGTGTGCAGCATCAATATAACTGGTAATTTCAAAAAAAAAAAAAAAAGATCAAAAACTTGAGAGTTACTACCTTATTCTGACTGTTGACAAAAAAAACAAACAATGGCATTAGTAAGTATATGATATTTTTAACCTGTCCACAATTCTATTATAAAAGCCTAAACTCTACTTAAAAATGCTTTGCTGATTGCTCTAAAGTATTTTTAAATTATATATGACATTTTTATTCCAGAAACTAAAACAATTTAGCAAAGAGCCATGCTGCCCATCCACCCAACAGAGGACAGAAAGACACATGATGGGAGGTCAGATACACACAAAACCAAAAATGTAGAGAATTATTATTTAAAAAACATACCCTTCCTCCATTAAATAATGCAAAATTAGAATGAGAAGATTTTTTCGACGAGCTTCTGTTCGCATCTCATCCTGTGAATTAAGACAGAACTCTAGATCAAATGTAATATTCTCTTTATTGCTGTAAACAGCATCTAAATGTAGCCTGTGGAAACAAACAAATTAAGACAACAGCATGTAAGAACTGTAAAACAACTCACAGTTAATAAACAGAAGGAAAGTGGTTTTCACTGTAATTTTTCTTACACATTATCAGGGCTACTGGATGGGTAGAAGCCTTTTCCTACAGAAAATTATTCTGAGGTTGAAAAAAATAACTAATTTCCCTTCCTGTGGTTATGGATCTCCAGCGTGGTCAGGCTGCTGCAAATTTCAGGGTAGGACTCTTGCAGACTTCATGCACCGTGTCTCTCCAAGGGCTGTGCAAGGAAACTATGTGCTCCAGCATCACAGTGTCCTTCCCTTGCTACTAGTAACCTGGTTTTTGTGTACTGGGAGAAGGAGGTGTGGAGAATAGGTCTGGGATCTGCACAACCACACTACAAAGACCAGCTTTAACACTGTTGGCACCTCCCTTTTCACAAGTCCTGGTATAATAAACACAACAAGTTTGAAGCAGAGAGCACCTGAAGAATTAGTAGCTTGGGTCATACCAGGCTTGCCTGATTTTAACACAGGAGTGACCAAAATCAGGTCCCAACATGGAGAAATTTCGGCATGGAGTCAGTACCATGGACTGCCTCACACAGATTTGAGAATCCAAGGTCATCCACGAATGGTTCATCATTGAAAACAAGGCAGCATAAAACAACTTTTGTCACCATTCATTGAAGCTACATCTGGTGGGGCATAAAATGCAATATCAAGCAGAGCAGAAGAGGCAGTGGAAACACAAACCTTGTAAGATCCTGGAACAATGCCTTACCCTAATGAAACAAGCCATATATGCTGAGTGTCTGCAGAGAAAACCTGAGGTGACAAATCCACAATTCTTTGTCGTGTTTGTACTGGAAACAGAGCCTCAACATCCGCAGCACAGATTTCTGCTGCTCTCTGCCAGTGCCTGGCACACAAACAAGACAAAGAATCAACTACTGACCAAGGCTGAGGCTTTGAAATCCTGCAAGATTCATGAAAGGACTATCCATACTGAAAGACAATTACCCTATTCTTCTGGTCTCTTGGAAGGAAGCATCGTTATAGTAAACTGCAGATACTGGAGAATCATTTATTAAAGCAAAGGTGCTCTTGGCTGGTGCATGATACTAAAAATTAATTTACTTCTTTAGTGTGATTTTCCTGTACCAGATTAGATGCATCTGTCCTCCCTGCTCTGTACACAGCAGTGGATCTCATACAGCATTTCGCTGCTCATTTAAACACTTGAGATAGCTGTTGTTTTATTTTAAAACTAATACCTCTCCTTGTGTTTGCCAACCTGCAAAAAGTATTGGGTAGAGCTGGCAAGTGGTCTGCCTCTACAGCAGATATTTTCTGGGATGTTTGCTTCAGACGTGGGGCCATCTAGTGACAGGAGTAAGAAAGGCTGGGGTTTGCTGTCAACCAACGTTTCCTGTGGGGCCAAAGTGTATTTTATTTCACACATCAATAAAAAGATTGGTAGAATCTTCATTCTGGTTTTCTATAGAGAAGAATCAAACTGTCTGGGGAAAAGGGAAGGTACCATACCCCACTTACAGCCTTTACTACCGGTGATACCTTGTTGATAAGGTTATGCAGCTGCCCTCAGTCTCTAAGGAAGCTATGATACCACTTTCACTGGCAGTATAAAAATTATTTTTCTAAACTATTTTAGGACAGAAGAGCACTGTGTAAATGCTTGGTATTACTTCTTCAATGAAGTAGATCAGTTCCTGAGAGGTTCTGCAACACGAATGAAACAGTTCTGAGAACTGTCATTGCGAAGTGTCATGAGCAAAGAGCACTGACACTCTGGGAGGAAAGGAGCTTTTCCTTCTCATTGTTTTGAGGTGCTGGTGTTTGGAAAACAGATTCTGAATTGTGGATTTTCCACCAGCATGATCTGAATCTTCTGAAACAAGAGGTGCTTGAGGTGCAAGAAAGAAGCTGGAGTGATCACTTGCTGAGAGTCCTGCTTGAACATTCTTTCAAATGCAACTGCTCCTGCTGTTTTATGCTGAGAAAAAAAAAACAGTTGTGTTTGCCCACATATCAAAAGGCAAGATCACAGCAACCTCCAAATATTTAAACACAGTATGAGAACACAGTGGTTGCCACAGAAGACAAGCACATCAAGTGTTTCATGTTTGAGTATTTACAGTAATAATCCAACAAGAGAGGAACCGCATCTGTCTGATAAACTGACAGAGCTCACAATCCATGGTCAAAACTTTCTTCGAAAAGAATTTGGATTCTGGTGTGTTCATCCCACTAGGGTACTCTTGCTATCCCTAAAGGCATTTTAAGTTCTACTATAAATAGTGATAGAGTGATGGTCAGAGTCTCAAATATTCTAAGTAGAGGCTTACTTTGGCTATCAGGATAACATTGTGCCTCTATGTATGAGCAACCCACTTCAACCTTAAAGTTCTTCTTGTTGTGTTGACCAAGCAGAAGCAAAAGTGAATCTTTACATCAAAAAAGGAGCCCCAGCTAAAAATCAGAACGTAATTTAGACCAAGACATTCTGCCTTTATCCTGTGTTACTGTGAATACAAAAAGCAATGGTTGAGACGTCAGACATGTGCCCAAAGAGAAGTAACTAACCTGTTAATCAGTTGATCAACTGATAAAGACTCACATTAGATCATGTATGAAAAACAGAACAGAGAAAGCAAAATCTCTGGTCCTAGTTCTGTGAAGCTTTTATAAAACAAAAATTAAGGGCCTTTGAACATGTAACTATTACTGAATCACAAATTTTGCGAGTCAGTGGCGCATGGACCACTGCTTTCTTGACCAATGGCACAAAGGCACACCTCCCTGTCCTTCACCTGTCTTATTCCATCACGTACCCTTCCCAAGAGGTGGATCACGTATCTGTGCCACCAACAGCTTTAGCTGTCCACTTAAATAGCTCTGCCCATGCTGGTCTCCTTTCCTGAACCCCAGTTTATCCTCTAGTGACTGACCCCCACTGCAAATATGTCTACAAAACAACCTGTCTGCCACAGTACAGACAGACACTAACGCTGCTGTGCTTAGAGAGGAAATGGTAAATCTTACATGGCACAAGAAAAAAATAAGAGTGCTTACGAGTGCAAAGTTACTTAAAACCCAGTTTAGCTTTAGAGTGATTTAGTCTTCCTGTTTAATTAGTATTTAGGACTACATGTTGTTTATAGCCACTGGTATTTCAGAAGATGTTTAAGTGTTTAAACTTTAATAAGCTTCCATTCTTAAAAGAACAAAAAATGTATGTAATTAAATTTTCAATTACTGTAGGGGACTTGGGGGTCCATGCAATTAATAAAAGCTTAAGGCACTTAAGCATGATCTTGCTTTAAAAACTAAATAGTTGAGCACTTAACTAATTAGCTCCAACACTTATAGTGCATTTTATTTATTTCTAGCTTAACAAAAGAGTGGTATGCATTCCATTCTTTGAGCCATTTAAAATTAAACTCTAATAGAGTCATACATCTTTAAAAGCAATTGTTCGCTCAGTCATTTTCATACCTTTTACTAAAATGCATTTACATTATAAATCAACCTAGTCTCTTGTGTAATTCCATCAAATTAATGGACCTACTAAAAGATTAATTTAACCCTATAATGTTTCATTATCATTTGACCCTGCATGTATTTCTGCATGAATATATTCACTAGCATGAAGTAAAAAGTTACAGGGTAAAGTTATAGTTTGGGAAGCCTGGAAATAAGAACTATACCGCTGTAATACTGTGCTCTTGTACATGCAGCTGAGGCAGCTCAGAGGAATCTGTGATCAGGAGTCAAAAGGCAAGCAGTTAGCTCTGTAATCACACAAGGACAGATTTTACCATTATACAAAAGCAGTGTTGCTTCCTTCTTTTTCTTTTTTTTCCCAGGATAGCTGCTTCTTCAATATCAAGCTGCGACCACACGTGAGGATAAAGAGAGTAGCTGAGCCATGATGATGGACGTGCCCAGTTTTCCTCCTCTCTCCACCTCCTCATATCCCCACAGCTATCCCAATCCCCTAGCCCTTCACGTTGTACATTTGCAGCCTTGGCAGGCTTTTTAGAAGGCTGATGTTCAATTATTGTTTGGCTTGCTGACAGTATCACTTGAGAAACACATGCAGAGAACGGAAACAGCGAGTTTTAAACAACATATAACTCGGCTGCCATCGAAGAGAATTTCCCAGCACAAAGAAAAGGCTCTTCTTTACTCTTTTCTCTCTTCCAAGTTATTCAAGCCTGCTGCAAACAGTAGAGCTGGTTAAGTTCCTCAAGGATTACAAATAGCTTTCATAATTAAAGACATACAGCAAGTTTACTACAGAAATTATGGCCGTCCTGGTAGTAACACCAGGATACACCCAAGAGGTGTTACGTTTAAATTCTAAAGACATTTTACAATTTGAGTTTGGTGCACTGAAAACAGAAACTTTCTGACTTGTCCCACGATTGCAATGGTCACATACCATCTTGCATCAGCTCATGCTCCGATGCTACGAGCCACTCACAGACCACTATTATCTTCCTCTTTTAATAGGAACGTTGCTAAAGCCAGGTTTTAAACTGCAAAGACCTCACTAATTTGAAGTGGTATATATTACGAATACTTAAAACTGAGTGGGCCCCAAGTATGGTGAACTGTTATACAATACAAATCAAGAATGTTGAATTTACAATTTAACTAATAAGCATGAACTCTCCCACTCATTTGTACAACTTTGAAAAGTTCTACTGCTGTTTACAAAAGTTCTACTGCTTGTCAAGAGTGATTTACAAAACAAACATAGGAAATATTTAACAATTAAAAACTAGTGAAATGCCTCACAAAAAAAAAAGTGAGGCTACACTGGGTGGCTGTGAACAGCCATAGAATTGTAAAGTATATAGGAATTTATACAGAGCTGATTTTTTTTAAACACGTTT